ACTGGAATTAGTTAGCAGGGCGTGTTGTCTTTTGAAGCGCAACGCCATTATAAGCACCCCCACACACTCACACACACACACACGCACTTATAGCAATTTCTATAGTGTGCGTGACTTTTGTTCTTGTCGTCCTTCGTCAGGCAGCAAGCAAAACATATCAAGGAGCTCATAACAATGCTTGAGAGTTCGCCCTTTACGTTGCGTTGCGTTGCGTTGTGTCGCGCTTTATTTTGATTTTGATTTAACGTTCTTAATTACAACAACAACAGTAATGACAATAGCAGCAACAACTTAATTTAGTCATCGCTTGCTATCGATAAGGAGTTGGGCCAGCATTCCGAAAATAGCATAGCCCGCACCCACACCAACACACATGTATATGTATATATATAGATGTCTGTGAATACATTTGACAGGCAAACCGAAAACTTTTGTTTATTGCCTTTGTTTTTGTATGCTTATGCTCGTTCACGTCCAAGTGGGAGGAGAGTATATTGGTTTCCTTTCGTCTGTCTGTATGAATGCAAAGTTTAGAAACTTAAACTAGTCAGTCAGTCAGACAATCAGTCAATCATCAATCTATAGCCAATCAATCAATCTATAAATCATACAATCGGTTCATCCATCATTCAATTAGCTAATCAGTCAATCAGTAGACAAGCAAATCATTCAATCAATCAGTCAATCAGAAGCCAATCAATTCATCAATCACTGCATCAGCTAGTTGAGTTGCAGCCAATCAATCCGCAAGTCAATCAATCAGTATCATTCAATCTGTAGACAAAGAAACAATCAATCTGTCACTCAATCAGACAATCAGTCAATACAGCAATCAGTTAGTTTATCTATAGATCTATAGATCTCACTCTCTCTCTCTTTCTCCCTGCTGGGAGCATAGTATATACTTCTTTCCCAGTTAAACCAAGTGATTAAATCGCCCAGCAATTAGGGCGTGGCTATACGGTAAATCATTTAAGAATCTCTTTCCACAATGAACCAGCATTGGGCAGCCGGTCACACTCCATGCGTTATAGTCCCCCTGGGGTTGAATGCCGCAGAAACAGATTTGGAATTATTAGAAAGTTTTCGCTTGCCCAACACAAACAAAGGATTTTGAACATGCTCTAAGCCAAAGGCGACAAGGAAACAAGTATTTACTTAACTTATTAACTCTATGAGAAAGGCCAGAGATCTGAATGAAACCTAAATATAAATTAGACTTCTTAGAATTTTATATATAATTTCAAATTTGAATTAAGCTCCAATTCCTAGGAAACTTATAGAGTGAAGACTAAAAAATGAGCTGAAATGTGAGTGAAGTATTGGAGCTTAAAGCTAAAGAGAACTTGAGAGGAGTCCGAAACTAACCTAACTACTGAATAGAGTGTATGTAGGAAAAGATATTAAGAAATCAATCTTGAAGTTGAAAGAGATGTAGAGCTGGCGAAACAGAAGAATATGAAATCTAGATAAACTCAAACAGATATAGATGGATGCATGTTAAGAAAGAACTCAAAAGCCTAAAGTCAAATAGTTGATCTACCATGGATACGAGTGGAACGACTAAAGAGAGAACGAATTCGTGGCAAAAGAGACTTGGGTTTGGTCAAAGGCAAAAGTGCTAAAGCCAATGCCTAACCTCAATTAGGCAACAACAAGCGGAATGCTTTAAAACTTGTGAATTCACAGCAGAGAGATAAAGGAAATGGATACCCAACGATTACCATTTGAATAGATAATGAAACTCTGGCAAATCTCTTCATAAAGCATTCACAACAAAATTGGCGACACGCGGTCCAGCCAACGAATTGATAGATAGAAAAAAAATAGAGGCAATGCCATGCCATGCCATTCCCAGCCCCCAGCCTGGAATGTGAGCCGACAAAACTGTTATAACAATAAATTAAGTTGCTGTTGCAGCATAAAAACCCAAATTGCCAAATGGCTTAATGGGGGGAAGTTGAAAGTCAGGGAAGCTAGCCGTTCCCACTCTATCAATGGAAAACAAGTTCGAGTACGCCAGAGGGGTGTGGGGTACGACTAGGCGATACCCTGTGCAGAGTTGAGGCATATAAAGAATCTAGCTGCGGTCGAACGGGCGGTAGGACGGACGAATAGAAAGACGGACGGATGGCAGGATGTACGAACGGACGGGACGTTCAGCCCGAAATGAGTAAATCGGTCGTTGGAATAATGAATAATCCCCATAGCTTATAAGGTCTACGTTTCGAGAAAACCAATATGCCCCGAATTCGCACTCCCCATGATTTCCAGGGTATAAAACACCCGCTGAAAATGTGCAATCTGTTGACGAATCATCACGACAGATGAAACGAATCGGCCGGCGACTTAGAAAACTACGAGCTAGCTAGGACAAGGGCAAACCGCTCCGCACTGGGGTACAGAGGGGTGTTTGTTGCTAAAAAAAAAAAAAAAAAAAAAAAAAATAGAAATAGAAATGGAATGAGCAAAAAAATCAGCGACCCTTTGCAAAATGCCGTAAAACATTCTCAAATGGTTTTTATTGAAGGCTTTGAGCCATTTTTCGGTTTGACTTCGTTTGCCCGGCCAATTTAATAGCATACTTTACAGCGCTAAGCAGGCAGTCGGAGTCAAGCTGAGGAAGAGGAAGCGGGTCGAGCTGCGATACAACTATCCCACAAAATACGCGACAAACAAACAAAATGAAGTGACGGCGAGTCGCGTTTCACGAATTCGCGTATTCAACCAAACGGACGTTCATTGTTATTTTAAGAAAAGCAACACGACAATACCCCTCCCGCCCTCAACTGCCCCACAATGTCCCAGCATAGCAAAGGCCTGGCCTGGCCGCAGAACCTCGGCGCTATCTGCGCCCACAATTCAAACAATCTTACTGTCTTATGGCTTAAAAACGCAGATAATAGATACTCTATCTTTAACCAGATCCTATCAACAGCTTAGGCCTTAAAGACTGACAAATTCTATCCCTTAAGCTGCTTGGGATGCCTAACTTATTTATGGTATCACCAAACACCTAAATCTGAGGAAGTTACGTTACCTTCATTAGGTCTTTGCTAGCTTTTTATCTATCTGAGTGACCTCTCAAAACTGGTCTATGGAAATTACCTAATCGAAGGCTCAGATTATAGATCGAATTCCACACTTTTCATGCTCCACTTGCATAGATCATAGAAATTCAGAGTCAAATATAGCTGAGAGCCCTGTAGACATTCTATCTGGAGTCACACTATAAAATGTACTCTATAAGAAATACTCTATGAAATAAACAACCCAATGGGATAACCCTAGGGTGCGATCCCATAGAAGTGTGCTATAAAAGTGCAGATGGGAAATCCTATGGAATTATTCTAGAGAAGTAAATAATGAAAAAGTTTTCTAGGATTTTCTCACACAAGAGATGTGATCTATGTAAAGTGCCCCATAAGCAAATGAGAGAGAGTCGTTTGGAAAGATGGTTGGAAGTATCTAAAGACAATATTCTATAAAAGGAGTCTATGGAAATATCCGCTTGGAGGTCGAAATTCGGAAGTACAATTTACATTCAGGGAATTTAATTAGACTGATGTCTAAGATAGCTAGGATAGATATTAAGAGAGAATCCACATCGATGTTGATTCACTAGCTTTAAAGATTTAAGACTGTAGACATTTGTTAGCTTACTTACCCTTCACTCCCTTTCTCACCCTCCCTCTCTCTCTCACGTTTCAATTAGTTAAAGTGCCCAGACTGCGTAAGGGTATATTGAAAAGAAGACATAGCATAACGCTGTAGTTGGTAGCTGCAGGAAGCAGCAGCAGCAGCAGAGGCAGCAGCAGAGGCAACAGCAGCAGCAGCAACAGCAGCAGCAGCAGCAGCGATGCCAGCGACTCCCTTGCTCAACTTCCGTTTTGGCTTGCAGCAATTTCTTTTGGCTTTATTGCCCCCTTCCCCATACAGAGTGTCCGTCCCTCTCTCTCTGTCTGTCTCGCTCTCACTGTCTGTCTGTCTCGCTTCATCTTCGGGCAGACTTTACATCCTGCCCCACACACCCGCGTCGCATTGGCTCTGTGTGTGCTACCCGCTGCGGCACGACGCATATAGCATAAATTTTGAATACGCTCAAAGAGTCAGGCCGAGGGAGCCGGCTGGGTGGGGGTGGGGGGTCGGTGTAGATTGAGATTGGTTCTGGGGTTGGTCCGAAAGAAAAATAGCGAAAATTGTCTGTCGCTTGATAAAGCGGAAGCAGAACTTGCCCATAAACGAAATGTGGCAACTGAGTGTAAACTTTATTGGCGCCCGACCGACTGGCGACAACATTTGCCCGAATTGGAGGTAGACGGCAAGCTGGAGATGGCGATGGCGATGGAAGCAGTATATATATATATGTATGTGCATATATATCCAGAAATAGCAGCATGTTGAACCATGTTGACTCATGCGACACGCATTTGGCGAAAGGAAGCCCCCAGACATGCCCGGGGCGCGCTGGCGTCTCGTTGGCTGCCAGTGAGAAGCGCCAAGAGAGGCGCCACTGCCACTGCCACTGCCACTGCCACTGCCAGTGCTTTGTTTGTTTTGTCTGCCTCATTTCTTGCACTAACGTTCGGTTTGTCTACGCCATCAGGCATCAGTGGGAAGTCCTACATTAGTTGATTTCATGCGCTGTTTACATTGGCAGCGAATTATGCGCATTGAAAAGCCAAAGATTTGGCTGCCAACTGCCGTACACCTCGCCCAGCCACCCCCCACCTCAAAGCGAGCTAAACGGGGTCTATGGCCTGACAGCCTAGTTACGACAATATATCCGAGTGTCATTGACACAACCCATTGGAGAGGGAGCGGGGGTGGAACGGGGGAAGGAAGGTTCCTCCTGAAGGTGCTGACTTATCTAGAGAAATTCTGTCAAGGTACTTTTCCGATTGTTTCCCAGACCCATCCTAAATGCCGGCTTAAAGCCTTGGCACATTAATGCATTTTCCGCTCTACTCCTGTCTCACATGCATTTCTTTTCCTTTCAGAGGTCCTGTCCAGCTGGGAGGAATGGTGGACATACGACGGCATCTCGGGTAAGTTGTGCATTTAAGTATCTCAATTGAATTCAAATTTAAACACTTGCCAGGCATGGCCGGCCAGAATGTGAATGCATGTGAATAGCCCTCGATGCAGTCGCTCGTTAACAACTTTAACGAATGCCAAATACCCGCTGCACTCAATCAGGCAAATAAATATCGAGTACAGATGAAGTTACAGCGCTTATTTCAAATGTAAATGAATTCAATTGCGGAAGGGACTTCAAGCCAGAGCTGGAAATCAATGTATATGTGTAAATATACTGATAATATGCACTGAGAAAAATTGGCTATGTGGCTGTAAGCGAGAAAGGCTGAAAAGTGAAAAGAGCTAGGGAAGCAGGTAGATCAAGCAACGGAAGAAGCTGAAAAACTGCAAGTAAAATGAGGAGAGGGGAGTCAAGCTAAAATGAAAACAAAAATATGAATACACAGAGAGAAATGGGGTTGAGAACAAGTTAGGCAGAAAAGGAGAGAGACTACGTCTCATTAATAAGCCAAGGAAACAGTTGAGAGATCGAGTGAATGAAACTGAGATGACCTTGAGTAAGTTAGCAAATGCGAATGCAAAGCTAGAAATGGGTTGAAAGAGAGAGGGAAAAGGATGAAAATAAAGTAGAAACAGTGGAAAGTAAACGAAAAAAGAATGATGTGTGAAAAGGAAAGAAATACAGAAGACCACGAAAATATACAGAAGGAAGAGCAAGTGGATGAAAGAGATTAGGTATAAATAAGGAATCTCTGAAAATATGATGTGAGAAAGAGAAAAAGTGAAAGTAGAGAATAGCATGAATATATAAGGAATGTAGATGAAGAAATTGAAATATGGAACGGATAAAGTTTTTTGCTCAAAATGCCAATAATTTTGTATCTATATGAATATGAATGAAAAAAGAGTAGAATATGATAAAATGATAGATTTGATGAAATAATTCAAAAACTAAATGTTATCGATAACTGAAACAGTGGCTGACATAAAGTTATCGAAAATAGCAACACTCTCAGTGAGTCGCACAAGAGAACTCTTGATTTATAGATAAAAGATATCTATAAATTCGAAAGGCGAGCACAGTCAGCCAAATGAAAGAAAGAGAAATAGAGAGCGAGAGAGAGAGAGAGAGAGAGAGAGAGGGAGGGAAAGAGCTAGATATAGACGTAGAGTTAGGAACACATGTCTAAAATTGTCATTTAACGCAATTAAATTGGATTCAAGCGAGTTTCGCGCTGCAAATTTCGAAATGAAAGTGAGCAAAATAAATAAAATAAGCGAAAACATATTTGTGGATAATACAACTCTGTCTGTGTAGGTGTGTGTGCGTGTGTGTGTGCGAATGGAATTGTAGCTGGTCAGCGGCCATTTTTGTTATTATGCCACACGGCTGCAGCTTGCAACAGGACGCAGTTTTATTTATGCAACAGCAGAGGCAGCGCCCCAGGGTTAGGCTGAAGCTGAAGCAGCGGCTGCGGTAGAGGCAGAGGCTGAGGCAGGGGCTGAGCGCCAGGCGGCAGACAAAGCAACAACAAAAAAAAAAAAAAAAAAAAAAACTCACACAAAGCATTGGCAACAAAAACGAATGAATAAGTGAATGAATGAATGAGTGAGTGAGTGTGGGTGAGTGTGTGAATGAATGCAAACACGAAATGAGCAGCAGCTGCGTGTGGCATGAGCGACGGTGGCCTCAAATGTTGCACTACCATTGAGGTGCACCTAGAGAAAGAGGGTGCGCGTGTCTATAGATGTGTGTATGAATGGGTGTCTGTGTGTTTGTGCATACATATCACACACACACACACACACACACACACACTCATTCAGTGCAGCTACTTAGCCTCTGCACTGATTTCTGTTGCTCTTGATGCATTGAGCACCCTTGACATTGTTGCTCTACCGGCGCGAGATAATCAGATTTTTATAGCTTCACTTTAAGATTCGGACTTCTCACATAACAGACTCAACTCCTATGTAATACAGTATTTATTTTTGTTTATTAAATTATAAAATACATTTGTACGGAATATAAAAAATTTTTGCAATTTTTGCTCCATTATTCGAAAAGTTTGTATTCTGAAGCAAAGATGAACTTTTTCAACTGTATCTACCTTACACATATATATCAGCTATAGCGGCAGACCTTGCATTGACCATATCAGATATCTCTATACTATATCTTATGACAATCAACACTTATGAGAGTATTTCCTAAGCGGCACGACGCACACGCGAGGTTTACGGTCTATAAAAATATTTAATTTTTCCATATGGCTGCTGCACACGGCACACGAACAGCACGAGGATTGCCACCAGCCCAGCTGCCCCCAGTTGCAATCATTCTGGCGGGGCAGTGGGGGAGTTTGTTTTGAAAAGTTTCGACAGTTTGTGCCTGTCACATCAAATTGAATGCAGGCGAGAGCCAACTATTCGGTTACCTAAACGCTCCAGGGCAAAGGGCGGGAGTTCGGGCGGAAGGGTCAAATGTCGGTAGCTCCCCTCCTCTTTTTTTTTGTGTTTGTTTTTTTCTTGTTGAACGCAATGGAACTCCCATTTGGGTTCATTTAATTGCTATTTAAACTGATGCGAGAGGCAGTGAGTGAAGCGAAGCTTATGAAATTTCATTTGGTGTTTGGATTGTCGACTCGTTGTTTACAATTCGACGGGGCGAAGGTCGGACAGGACGAGACTGGACACATTTCCCATTCGAACAACACGATTGACAGTTAGCCAAACAGTCAGTCAGCTGTTGAAAGCTTCCACTTCCTTCCATTTGTAATACCCATCAGCAATCGAGGGATGCCAGATGCGCCATGGGAGTCTTTAAAAGCTATATACAATAGAATGTATTGCAGAGTGCAGCTGTAGCTGCTCAGGTTTCTTTAAATGCCCAAGAGGCACAATCAAACTGCTCTAATCTATTTTCACACCAAAGAATTCTAGCTGAATGAACTCACAGACTGTTGAGCCTAGAGTTAAAACACTTGAAGGGCTAAGGGCTAAGGGTAGCTAAAGTGCAGTTGATAAGAATAATATAGAATAAAGTTAAATAAACTGAGCTAGTCAAAGTCAAAGCTCAGAGACTAAAGAAGGATTTACTTGCTTTAAGTACAATAAGGATAACAAGTCTAAGGATTAGAGTCACTCCAGGTCCTGTACGAATACACTTGATTGATGATGGTGTTTAGTTTCGTATTGATCTTTATTCTTCTGGGCCTGGGTTTATATACCTCGACTCATGCATAGTTTTAACCCTTAAATCTAGTGCGTCTATTGCTGAGTGTGTAAGGCTCAGCATTGGTCTATTCCATATTCTTATCTTATCGCTGAGTTTGTAAGGCTTACATAATCTGACTTTGGGGTTGCAAGGGTTAGTGTTCATTTGCCTATTTATAGAGTCCGTACATGTGACCCTTATCTTTTCCGAGCGCACTACCTGCTAGTCGTTGAGTGCGTCGGAGGCATGTATACGATCTTCGTATATTCATACGTTCATGCCTAAACACCTCTGATCTAGTTACCGAGATATGTATGTATATCAGTGAAACTGAGCTAAGCTCATGGACTATATAAGTCTATTACTACTAAGTGTATTAAGTCTATTACTACTAATAAGTCTCTCAAGACTTATCTTTTAATAATAATGTAGACATAAGATGTGACTAATGCATACTTAGAGGCTAAGTCTTGATATACGAACTCAATCGGAGTGCTCAATTTCGATACATGAACTTGATAGTCCGATCGATAAATGAGCTCTACCCGAAATAACTAGCACAATCGGAGCAGAGTATCTGTTGGCCAAGCATGCCGCACTTAAGCAACATAAATTTATAATATGTATGCATCGAGCATTGTTGTTAATCAGCGATTTGTATTTTACAGGTCCCAGCTTCTGGGGTCTCATCAATCCGCAGTGGAGCATGTGCAACAAAGGACATCGACAGTCGCCCATTGATGTGGTGCCCGACAAGCTGCTCTTCGATCCATACCTGCGACCGCTGCACATTGACAAGCACAAGGTAAGAGCCGCAGCAGCAGCAGCAGCAGCACCGGAAAGGACATTCAGTTGCACCGTCTCACTCACACGCCATCTCTCCTCCTCTCTCGCTCTCTCTCCCTCTCTCTCTGTCTCTGTCTCTCTTTCTCTCTCTGGCTGTGTTTCTCTGCCTCTGTTTGGCTGTCGTCGTCAACAGGTTTCCGGCACGCTGCACAACACGGGTCAATCACTCGTCTTTCGCGTGGACAAGGACACAAAGCAGCACGTGAACATATCCGGCGGTCCTTTGGCCTATCGCTACCAATTCGAAGAGATTTACATACACTACGGCACCGAGAACAGTCGCGGCTCCGAGCACTACATACAGGGCTACAGTTTTCCGGGCGAGGTAGGTCAATCAAGCGACGGCAACAGGATGGCCAGACTAACCAGTCATATTAATATTGTAACATATCCCATGCACACACACACACACACACACACACACATACAGATACAAATCTATGGCTTCAACAAGGAGCTGTACCACAACATGTCCGAGGCGCAGCATAAATCGCAGGGCATTGTCGGACTCTCGTTGATGGTGCAAATTGGCGAAACGCCCAATCCCGAGCTGCGCATCATAACGAGCACATTCAACAAGGTTCTCTATAGAGGTGAGTTATGCGATAGTATCGGTTCGGCATACAGCGAGCGACGCTAGCTTTTCTAATTAAGACTTTTACTTAGATCTATATATATATATATTGTATATATATTTATGGTGCCATCACATCGTATCCCTAGGTATATATATTTATTGTATATGTCTATATTATATATATCAGCTATTAAGTATACACGAGAAAGCTTCACTCTGTTTCAAGTCCATCTCTAGCTTTGTCTTTAAGGCGTGATTCACGTGACTTGACTTGACTCTCCCATCTCTTAATCTCTTAAAATGCCAACTTATCAATGCATTGACTTGCGTGACACGATTCAGCACCTTCTCTAGGTGCATTTTCAATGGATACTTTGAGTACTTGGAGACACTTGGATTTGTACTCTTTTGCAGTCAACTCAATTGAAGCCCTTTGCCTGGATCACATGTCTCTAGCATCCTGACGCACATATCATCTGTACTTAAAGATATATAGTATTACATATAGTTCCCTCTTCTAGTGCAACTTGCATTTGCACTACTCCACTCGTTTATATTCCCTTTTGACCTCTCTCGTGTCACGACCCATCGCAAGCAACAATCATTGCGAATATATCGCATCACATCTCTAGTTCAGCTTAGTCAGTTAGAGCCAATGCGATTAGTTTCTTTATCGTGTCACATCTTAATGACTCACGACTCACGAGGCAGGTATCATCTCTACATTCGCTTCGCATGGCTTTTTGGCATTCCTCATCAATGGAATGGAGTCGAGTTCGTTTGATGAGTTCCTCCGTTGACTGACTTTCGACTGGCACTATCAGCCAACCAAAAGGGGGCGCTTCTGGCTGAGGGGGCGTGCCAACATCATTTCCGCTACGCAAAATGCACCGGAAATGTTGCAACGTTTGCCCAACTCACAGTTCGCGGCTGGTGGCTCATGGCTCATGGCTCATGGCTCATGGCTCTTGGCCAGAGCTCAGCGCTCAAAGCTCAGGGCTCACGGCTCACGGCTCACGGCTCTTGGCTCTTGGCTCTTGGCTCTTGGCTCTGCGGCTAGCACTTTTATGATGTCATTCCGCAGCAGCAACAACTTGCTAACTGCAAGTGGAACTGCAACAATTGTGTAGCTGCAACAACAAGCGGCATAATTATGTGCGGCAACGTCCTAAAGTGAGCCATAAAAATTGCTCGACAGCCGTTGGCCGCGAAATTGGCGCCGCGCCGTGCAACGCCGCGCAAAGTGACGAAAATGAAACCTCGAATTACACTAAACCGACACTTAATAATTCCCCCTTCCACCCCCGCAGCCGCCCATCAACCCGACCGACCGACAGACCGACCCAGTTTAATAGCCTTTTTACAGGTCGTACAACTTTATGTAGCTCCATGAAAGGACGAAAAAAAAAAAAAAATACAGAGAAAAAAGTAAAAATAAATAAAGGAAAACCTGAAGTTTCCTTTAGCGCCCCGCTCGAGCTCAGAATGCAGAAAATATGCGGCCAATTTCTGCGAACCAACTGGCAAAACAACTTGAAAGTTTAACTACTTAAAAGGTGAAGTCGAAACAGTCGAAACAACGAATATCAAATACTCTAAGAGGGCAACGCGAAAAATTCTCAGACAGAGTCTTTAGCCTTCTGCATTTCTTTAGGTAAAAGCAATCGATAATTTATGAAAGTCATCGAGAGTGTACGACATACTCAAGTCATTGTTGCAGAGTATTCCGATGCCGTTGCACACTGAACACCAAAGCGCCATGTAAGAGCTAACAATTCTGTTGCAAATAATTATTCGGAATGCCTTCAGACCCGAACCGAACCAGTCCTAACGGCTAGCTTTCACTGCTCTCACCGCAAACCCAACGCTCTAGCCACTCGTTTTTTAGTACCATTTGCCGCCGTCTCATAAACCGCGAGGCGCTTCATTTCCGGCTGGGCATAATGATTTGTATGAATGAAGTCGAGCGCCGTCGTTCAAGTGACCAACGAGAAGCCAACCAACAAATCAGACTCAGACCTCGCATACCCTACTAGCCCCACAGCCCGCTCTCCCCTCTCATGCCGTGGCTGGCCCCATGTCGACTTGTCCTTCCCACCCCCTTTTGCTAGCTAGTCTGAATTATTCATTAGGTTTTTTTCGTATCGTCGACGTTTTGCCGTTCATATTGCGAACGAGACATGGCAAAATGTGCTGCACTCCATTTAAATGCCCAATGCACCTTGAACTTTACTTTCGATACCCTGTAAATGTCAAAGTGTTTAGAATTGAATGAATTGATGTATAGATATAGGTAAGACTTTCTGTTAAGTTCATTAGAGCTAATGTAAATGAGTCGCGTCTTTCTCCACCGTTGTTTTCGTTGGATAAGAACGGTGTTTTTTAAACGTATAAATCTTTAAAAAGTAAATGGGAATAGACCCAAGAAATATTGACAATGTGAGAGTAGATTACAATAGATTGTGTGTTTAGCTAGTGAGTTGTTGACAGAATATCCCAAGATTACCCATATATAACATAAATACGTAACCACTTAACATAACCCTACCTAGCCTTACCTTGGTTCAATCTAACCTACTCCTCTTTAAGTAAATCACTATAAACTAATTGACTCAACTTAATATGAGCTTCCATATGAAGCATTCTCTTACCTTCACTGGTTTAAGCTGGCACCACTTAAACTACCACAATCGAACATGACTGTCACTTAGGGTAAGACTACCCCACCAATGCTACCCTAACATAACCTTACCTACACAACCATAATAAGACCTTCGTTTCGCCATGTCTATAATAACGCAACAAGAACCTTACCAATCTAGACGTAGATATTATAATAAGAACCTTATCTAACCTACCCTAACGTGACCCACCTAACTTACCTAACTCAACCTGAACTCTATTGAGTCTTAGCTTGTCGCAATCTCCACTATAGCCTCAATAGGCCAGCATTACCCGGAAAACTTAACGAAAAAGACCATATATCTATGGCACCCATGGAACTATTTTAGACCAATGCTTAAGCTTAAGTCTAACGTAAGTTGGTGAGACCCAAATCTTTTTCGATGAACCGATCCACATGATCTACACTAGCTTAAGTTTTAAGGCGGGGTTCATTAGCTCATAATTTATAGATCCTTAACAATCGCTAGCAAGTTCTCTAACGAATCTAACTACACTCTTTAATAACTCACTTTACTCCTCCCAACAATCCTTTGCAGGCTTCTCGACGCCCATACGGCACATATCGGTGCGATCGCTGCTGCCGAATACGGATCATTATATTACGTACGAGGGATCCACCACGCATCCGGGCTGCTGGGAGAGCACGGTCTGGATACTAGTTAATAAACCCATCTATATCACCAAACAAGAGGTAATAACCCGCTCACGCCCCTCTTTCGGCATCGGCTTTTCCCTTCCCTCACCCGCTTTGCCAGCGACCGCAAATAATGAATTGCATTCGCGTTGTGCAATTGCAATTAGAGACGAATTGTATATCTATGTATTTATTTTTTTATTTTTATTTTCATCATTTTTGTAATTTGTTTTTTAACGTTATAATTGTTGCAAAAAAAAAAAAAACAAAAAAATAGCATAAATGCAATTATAAAATTTCTCATCTATTGGGCTACGGTCGCCGCGCGGTTTAGTTGCGGTCAACGCGATGCTCTGCGCATAATTAAAAAACAATATTTGGTTAGTTTAATCAATTTGCATATGCATCGACAAAGGACGGACGACAGAGGGGCACAGCCCTGAAACTAGACAACAAACCGAGTGTAAACAGAGAGGAAAAACATTAAAGAGAAATCTACACACACATAAAAATTTGAATAATTTTTGGAACTGTCCATTAGCTTCTAGAGTTAGGAGTGACTAATATAAAAATATGGTATATTTTCTCTCCAAATGATCGACTGAAGTCAGGAACCCATTTAATTCTCATTTCCCATTCTTTGCTTCTCATTATGCTTTCAGTTATATCAACTCCGTCGACTGATGCAAGGCTCCGAGAGTACACCGAAAGCTCCATTAGGTAATAATGCGCGACCCGTGCAAAGTTTACACCATAGAACCGTAAGGACGAACATAGATTTTAAGCGTCATAAGGTAAGTGCTGAGAGATACTAAATGCTATTCATACACTCGTACCAATCATGCAGTAACATGACAATCTTTAAATATGTCCGTCTGTCAAATCAGAGTTAATAATCAATCAAAAGTCAATCAATCATAAATCGCCTATTAGACTGTCCAACTCAGTCACTCGTACATCAATCAACCCAATCAATCATCCCAGTCAATCATCATTTGCCTGCTAGTCAATCACCCTGTTCCGTCTATTATTCTATCAATCATATACCCTACAAATTGTTCAAATATTAATTGTTTCCATTTCATTTCACTTTCCGTTTGCCCACAACAGAATCAAAATGCATGTCCTTCCATGTACAAGGATATGTACTATCGCGCGAATCGCTGGTCCCCAGATACAGGACTTCTGATACGTTGACAACAACAACAACAACTTGAACCAGGACAACAAAAACAACACCAACTGCATTTCGCATTTTCAATTTTCACACTGATTTTTTTGAAAAATAACGTCAAAAAACGAGCTCAGGTTTCGTTTTTTGCTTGCAGCATTCCTAAAATTCAACTACGAAAAATATCCCGTATATACATACATATATATGTATATATATATATAGTTTCATTCTTAACAAGATAAAAACTGCGCAAAACAGAATCTTAAATACCCTGGCAAAGAGGAATTCCTAAAATTCTATGTATACCCTGCGCCCATTGAAAATGGGCAGTCGGGGCATATTGCTTTTATTTCTTTTAAAAATCGACTATAAACAAGAGCCATATAAAACTAAAAACTACTGCAATTTTCACTAATTTATGTTTGTTATGCAAAAACTATATTACCATCTCTGTCTCTCTCTCTCTCTCTCTATCACCTCTATGCCTCTCTCTCTCTCTCTCTGTCAGGGTATATTCGCATACTCAACTAAAACAGCAAAAAAAAAAATGCTTCTAACAAATAATAAACGAAATTCCATGAAAACTAACGAAAACTAAATCTAAACAAAGTTCTAAATACATACGTACAAAAATACACACACACACACCGACAATACATACACAAACGCAACACACAAAGGCTGGACACGCCCACATGTTGTGCCCACAAATTAATTGCTGCCTTTTCATATTTGTGAAATAATAAAAATATTTTCAAGCCAAATATTAGTTTCCATTATAAACACACACACACACACATACATTTTTTTTTTTTTGTTCAATTGCTGTCTGTGTTTTTATTCACATATATTTATGACCAATTATTGATTATTTAAATATTATTTGTGGTTTTAAATTTAATATTTCATTTCGCGAGCAAGAGAAACTACTTCAAACACTATACAAATCTGTTGGACGGCTATCGAATACCCTTGCAGCTAAAGGGAAATCCAGAAATACGCATAAATAGGATCCAGCTGTAGTTCCGATCAGCCCCGTCTTAATTTGCAATTTGCATCTTATTGTGTAGACTTATCTGTGAAGGAAGTCAACAGTTGGTGAACCAGGCCAACTCATTCACATAAGTGAAACGGGCATATTGGTTTGGTCTTGCTGTCCGCTTGTCCGTATGAATGCATATAGATAATACTGAACTATTATGATACTTCCATTTGATGTCTGTAAGAGCTCAGCTAAGAGCTTACCTATAGAGTCAGCTTTTCAAGAATTTCTCTATTAATTTGATACACATATTGCCCAAAAAAAACTCCAACAGCTAATATGCCCGTTTGAGAGCTTTGCCATGCAGCAGCATTAACAAAACTCGACTGTTTATAAGGGGAAAGAAAATGAGAAATGATTAGAGAATAATTCAAGTAAGTGGTTCCGCGATTGAGTATACAAAAAGAACTGGTTCCGCGATTCAGCTGCAAGGGCTTAAAGCAAAAACATACAACAAAATATACAAACCAAAAAAAAAACAACAAATGAAATAAGAATTTCCATAAACTGGATGATGGGTGGACAATAACTAAAGAAAACAAAACCTATATAAATATACATATACATATAGACACATATGTATATATAGTATATACATACATAAATGGAAATCAAAACTCATATAAATATTCATATAAAATATACATTAAACTATATAGTTAATTATGATGCATACGATATACAAAAAGCCTATATACATACATACATACATATATATATATATATATATATATATATATATATATACATAAATATATGTGGAAAACCATTTGGCAGACATGCATAAAACTTAGATGGAATACCCCCGCTCCCGCCACCCAAAAACTGAACTATGAAGCAATGCAGCAGGAAGTTGAATGCATAAAAAAGCGAACTACGAAAAAGAATATATATATATATATATATGAACAAAATTTAGGCTAAGAGCTACACTAGTGAACATGTTAAGGGCCAGCCAGTAAGTGAACGAAAAAGAAACTATATAAAGTCTATTAAAACACATAATACATACGCAAGCTATATATATACATATGTAAAACTTATTAGCAAAAATGTCATCGATAACGAAACTATCGATAAATCATACTCTAAACTCTAGATTAGCGCGTTGAAGGCAAAACTACCAGAAATTCTAGGCTTATATTAAGTAGATGCAAGAACTAAAGAAAATAACACGTATAGTCAGACGTTTTTTTTTTTTTTTTTTTTTGGGTATAAATATATATACATATATATACATATTGTTAAGTACTTTGCCGAAATATATATATAGAGACATATATGTGTATGTGTATGTATGCGTATGCGTGAGTGCGTGTGTGTGTAAGTGTAAACAGTGCTGGACAGCGGACAAGTAAATGCATAGCGCTTAGTTTCATAGCAATTAGCTTTTGTGTTTGTAAGATATACTATGTTATTCTGTTTGAGCAATTGGTGCAATTAAGTTAATGAAAACGCGTGGCAAATGATATGGAATGGAATCGATTGAACGATGGAACGGCATGGAATGGTATGGAATAGCCACGAAATACTTAGGTGTAGTAGAAAAAATTTGTCTATTTGTATAAAATGCGAAACTAAAAACAAAACAAAGAAAGAAAAAAAAAAAAAAACACATGCGACAACTGTAAGTTACTATTGTGTTTGCCATATACGACTAACTATATAATAAACATATATATATACACATATTCGAGATATATATATAAACCTATACTACAATTATAATGCGCATACAAATGGAAATTAAAGAAACAATTGCATAAAATACATAAAGAATAACAAAAGGAATAAAAAAAAAACAAAAACCAAAAAAACAAAAACAAATGAAAAACAACTGACAAAAATTCAGAATAAAAACAATTACAATTGCATATATCCCCTACCCCTACCCCTACCCACTCTATATATGTAATATTACTATTATTTTCCCATGCATAACATGAAAGACAGCAACAAATATTATTATGAGTAACAAATTTAAAACGGAATGCAAATTAATACAAAATAAATACATTCAAAAAAGAGAAGAAAAAAAAAAAACAAAAAACAAAAGTAAAAGCAACAAAAGCAAAAGCAAATAGTTCTATGTGACGAAAGAAAAATAAAGACGAAAATAAACAAATTTAATTATATGCGCATTTTTTATTCAGAGCAACAGCTATTGAAATTGAAATTGAAATGGAAATTAGTGAATGAAAGTTTTCTCTTTTTTTTCGACTCGTTACTAGTTCATTAATGTTTAATAGTTTAAGCTAAATTTTTATTTCTTGCAGCAAATATCTAGTAGCTCATGCATAGTTCATTTTATGATTTTTCATTTCTGAATTAACTATACAATTGGGGAATCAACAAGAGCTGTAAATTAGCTCTAGTACTATTCTAGTGTTAAATGAAACCAGAGGAACAGTGGAATTGAAACACATACTTTTTTGCAAAAATATGCTAAGAAAATAGAGAAGTGTGAAAACCTTTTTATAAGATGCCAACACAGCTAACTGTGAGAAAGATTCAGTGGAATTTTGGAATGAAACATACTCTTAATATATAACATGAAAAATCATCTTTCAATCGTATCATCTCTTATGCCAGCGAAATGGTGATAAATGCATTGCGGAATGTTGTTAAGGTATTATACATAAATAGTTCATATATTGCTCATATTTTCCTACAGAATTTTAAAATGAAATATTTCATGGAACAGTTATTGAGGCAGACGCATTCATATTTCGCCCTTTAACCACAGAAATGTTTACTTACAACACTTTTCACGCTGCAACTGAATGTTGGAGTTGGACTGGAGCAGACCACACTCATTTTTGGCCTGACAGGAGTTGGCTTTCAGATGGATTTGTCTTGCTTAATGAGCACAGCCAGACTTCATCAGTGCCGTCACAGATCAGCACGAAAAAAAGAAGTAACAAGTATACTAATTCCGAGAATTACTAGAGTGAGCCACAAAAGTGATTTTACAGAAGGCAACGAATGTTGGGGGCCAGTCAATATCCTGTTTGGCTAATCACCGAATCCTGTCGAAATACAAATGAAATTTGAAGCCTGTGTGGAGCTAATCAGGCAGCAGACAGCAGACAGCAGACAGCAGCTGGCAGTGGGCAGAATTATGATATGCCTCGGGCACAGTGGGGCAAATGCACAAATGTTTGTGTTGTTTTTCTTTTTGGCCATTTAAATATTCAATTTCAATTTCCGACAAAACACAAAACGCTGCTCTCTGAAATGAATGGCTAAGTAAGGTAAGGGCCAAGAGCACGGCAGTGGGAGCCAACGGCCAGTGTTGGCTAACGACGAGTCGTAATCGGAAATGGGTAACCGCATGTTTAATTGGACGCAATTGAAACTAAACTAGCGTAAAATCGAAATAAAAACACGCACACACACACACACACTTATACACGCACACACACACATAACGGCATTGAAACCAAAAAAGAAGCTTTACTCAACTCTACGTCTCTGGCGCCGCAATATGGTAATAGAAATTCATTTCATTTGGCCGTTCCATTCCGTTTCGTCTCGTCGCGCTTTGTTGTTTAGATTTGCACGAAAAATTAATTACAAATTAATTTACCATAAATTGAAATTGCGCTCAATGGGCGACCAAAGGCATCGACGGTCAGTCGAGTGGTTCAAACCGACCAACCAAACCAAACATCCACCCATCCACCACTCGCACCACCTTCAGCACCCAAATCAGTTTGGCTTTGGATGTCGATGTGGATGTTGATGTGGATGTGGATGTGGATGTGTCTGCGGGTGTTGTGCGGCAACCAGCGCCTGTTCATTAGCACCACAAATCGCAATAAGTTACAGTGAGGCCTCGCAAGGGCCAACTATTTTGTATAGAGTCAAATTTGACGTAAGTTTCTACAGTTTGAGGAAATTTCGTAAAAGTTAATCAAAGAACTCCAGAAGAACTTCACCTGAATGAAAGTGAAGCAAATGGGAGACTCCTAAGAGAGCTGGGCTAGACAAAGAAGCGGAGGTAAAAAGAAAGTCACATATAAGTATAGAGAGACATTAGAGAGAGAGAGAGAGAGAGAGAGAGAGAGAAAGTGAGAGACCTTGGCCTAACAGAGTGACGGAAAGCGACAACACCAGAATATAACGAGAAAGAGACCGGAGCACGTATCAAAATTTAACATCTACTCTTTGGATATACCCTGTACCATCCACTTCTACTCATTTTCAGTAGAGCAATCCTTTCCACATAAATTCCATTTGACCTTAAAGTATTGCGTAGCACCCATTCAAACTATTTCACTTGCCAATTCATCGCAGCGAGTGATGACTGTATATAAATTGTAATTTTTGCATATTTTGAATAATTTTCTGCTGTTCTTGCTGAAATTGATGCGAAGAAAGCAGGGCGCAAGGGAGGGCGGGCTGGCTGGACGGCTAGGCACGGTTATTGAATGCATTTTTTGGGTTAAGGCTTTAAGCTGAAACCGCATTTCGCAAAACGCGGTCAAAAGGACTAATTATGCTAAACAGCGTAAAACCGCAACAACCACTTAGCCATGGCCGGGCCGGTAGGGCGACTGGATGGCTGGATGACTGCCCCACCGGCCCGACTGGTCAATGGTCAATGATGTTTGCTATCGCTCAGCCCAGTGCCACGCCCTCTTGGCTTTGATGTGCGAGACGCAATACGCTCAGCACCTATACCTGATACCCTGTTGGTAGTGTGAGTGAGGTGTACTT